GTGAATTGACTATATTTTGTGGGCGAAACGCAGCAGCCAATTGTGCACAGCAGTGTCTCACAAAAGTTGTGGATTAAGTGACCAAATTAATATTATTTTTTTGAAGGGTTTATTGCCCCCGGAAAAGCGATCTGCTAATCGACTAATTACCGGGTTCCTACGAACTGATAGGTGAACAGATGTGTGTGGAATACGGAAACTTGTCCAATGTTTCACCCTACCCAGGAATCAAACCCAGAACCTCTCGCTTGCAAGGCGAGTGCTTTAACTACTAAGCTACATGTTCTATAAGATAAAGGACATCAATCATGCAAATCAAAGTATCTTGCCTCTTTTGAGATACAGCAATAGCAAATCAGAGTGAAAATAAAACTGGAAGGCATTGCTTGAAAGGGTTATGGAAGCCAATTTGATAACAACTTTTAAGAGAGAAGTAGATAATTATTTGGTGAGGACAAGTTTGTAGGGCTATGGGGCAAGAGCAAGTGAGTGGGATTGAATTGGATAGCTCTTTTCAAAGAGCCGGCACAGACACAAGGGGCCTTGTTGATAATATCTGATCTACATTGTAACCAACAAGTGGCAAAGATGGTTAGACAAGTGCAGAAATTTATTGCTGGTTGGCACAAAGTGGAATAAAGAATCTGCTCTACTCTAGGGCTCAGTAAAGGCTCAATTTACACACTAGCCAACTTAATAAGGATGATTTAATGTTTACCATGTTGAAAACATCGGGCTGAATAGTCAATTGACCACTGTTGCTAACATTTACTACCCTGAGATGACAGCTGCAGGCATGCTTGGCCTATCATTCTTAAGTAAATATTCTGTTACAAACAAATTCTACATTCCTTTGAGAGGAAAATCTTCGAAACATTGCCTGTTTCAGAGCTGCTATTTTTATAGACAATAATATAGAATTAAGATAGAGAGAGAGAAAAACACTGAGCTCAGGATGTAAGAAATCAGAAAAGGAATAGAGTGAAGGAGGCTTTTTCAGGCTCAAATGTTGCCCTAACTCATCTGCATTTACACTGCAGGGTAAAATATATGCTACCATACAATAACGTCCCATTGGATGGACTGTTTCTTCATACCATTGATAGTTTTAACAGGTTTCAAACCATTTAGATGACCCATAGTAGCTTTTAAATTGGCTTATTAGCTTCATTGTGGACAGATGAACTATGTTTTTTCCTGTGAAATGGACCTCATTCACCTTATTGCCTTTATTCCTACATAGACGGCTTGGGTAATGAACACTCACTTTCAGAGGTTAATGGGATTAATCCACTCTAATATCCAGAGGTTAAATATAAATTTTCTCTCTGCTATTTTGAAATAATCTTTGTGAAATCTAATAATAGTTTAAGCTTTTCTACTTTAACAATGAATTGTTTGCTACCACTTAAAATCAGAGAATCATAACATAGCAGGGGACCATTCAGCCACTGACTGCTCCTGGGTTACCACTAGAGCTAACTGCTCCTTACCAAATTTAACATTAGTTGCTTGCTGTTGTATTCATTTTCCCCCCTTCTCTCTCTCCATATATATATATGTAAAAATCCCAGAATCATATTTGTCTTTTCTTACCTGCCCTCTGTCGTTAAAACTATGTATCTGGACCTTTATCTCCCAAGCCCTCAGTATTATTAAAAATGTTTTACTTTTTTCCCGCAAAAATATGCTACTTCACATTTCTGAACCTAAAACTGCATCTGCCACATGTACAGCTACTCTGCTTACTGATCTATAGCTCTCTGTAGTTTCCTCCATTGTCGGTCACAGTTTTCCACGCTCCCTAATTTGGTACAATTATTGGTTTGGTTAGCTGGGTCTACGACACACGTAGAAACCCCACACCATGCTTAAGAGCATTCAAACCAAACTGAGAGTTCCATATGTGAGTTATGCTACATAGTAGATACATTTAAACCATTAGTGTGGTCTACCCACAGTTCTGGGGGGGTAGTTTTCCTGTGGCAGAGTATATAAACCTATGAACAAAACACAAAATACTACAGATGCTGGAATCTGAAACAAAAACAGAGAGAGCTGGGAAAACTCAGCAGGTCAGGCAACATCTATGGAGAAAGGAAAGTGAGTCAACGTTTTGGGTCCATGACCTTTACGAAGCAGTTGTTAATAAGATTTTCAATACACAGCAGATATATTGAATAGTTCTGACAAAACAGATGCACGGGAGTCTATCTATTGCTCAGTGTTAGAGTGATGACCCAAACTCAGCAAGGAGGAGCTTGCTATTTCTAAGTGAATGCATTCTTGAATATGGTGACATTTGGCCATGCGGTTACATAAATTCAGAGCTTCGGCATATGCTAGTCAGTGTTGTACTTTAATATTGAGAAAAAGGTAGATTTTATTATGCTGCTTGCAGCATGGTATAACACTGACAAAATGAATTAACTGTAAGGGCCTTAACAAGTTGAAGGTTTTTATTTTACAAAAGAAAGACTGCAGAAGATCTCTTCAGATCAGACCTTTTTGTCTTTGTTTTGAAGCTATGCATACGCCTGTGAAGGCACTGAACCTTCTTTTCCCCACTCGTTAATTCCTTCCTTCAGGCAACAGACCTTTTGAGAGTGAGTGGCTTCTCCCACATTCCTGCTGATACAAGCCTTAGCTTCCTCGTTGATGCCTCTTCAATATTTCACGCTTTCGTGCAGTTTAAATCAAAGTAGGATTCCCGTTTGATTCGATTAAGTCAAACAATGAATCCTGTGCACTCAAATAAAGTTATATTTTGTTTGTCTCTTCTTTTTCCATCATCCTGGATAATTAATACACAATAGACTAGTTTTCGTGCAGAAAACAAACACATTTACTTTGGTGATACCTATATGCAATATTATCTTTTTCTTACCCTCAAGGTTAACAAAATAAATTTGAATAGAGAAGCATAGAGATGCTTTGGACCCTGATGGATTGATACTGACATCTGCCTCCAATGAATGTCTCAAATGTTGATGTAGCTTTAAAATCTGGAGAAAAAACATCAATACAGGGCTAGGAGAGATTTGATTCTGCTTTGATAAAACTGGATAACAGCCCAAAGGGTCTTATTTGTAATAGTTGTAAACCGGATTTGAGCATTAATTGTGGCTTCAAATATCAACATAAAATTTTGAATATCAGATAAAAGTGATGAATAGATGATGAATCGCAAATTTGAAATTTGTCAAATCTGAATGATATTTAGGGATCATAACTTTCAAATACATTGAATCTTTAGAATGTGACAGCAAAACACTGACTGAAGCTTTAAGTGAAGAGGACATACTCATTGAAATACTCATTGACCAGTTTTCACTGAGGGGGACAAGAACAAAGTAAGATCCAAGGCGTTAAGCAGACCTTGTTCCTGAGCAAGATCTTTGGGTGCTTTGGGTTAGAATCTATGGTAGGAGAGATTGTGTGTTACGGAATGGGTTTGATTGGCCAAATAGCATTTTTTTAATCGTGATTTCCTATTTACTTATGATAAGGAATACTAATTCTATTGAGAAAGGTAAAAAAATTCTACATTTGTTAAATAATTGCTGGCTGGCGGTGGGTAAGTAGTAATGTAACCAATAACGTTTCATTTGTCAACTCTTGATTGCCTCCAGGTGGCTGGATGAGTGGCATTGACAATATCAAAGAGCCGGTTCTTATCCTCTCAGTCTCTGGGAATGTGTAATTAATTGAGGGGATCATATGCTTTATGATGCGTTAAAAAAACATCATTTACAATAAACAGCCACAAGCATTCTATAGCAATCACTGCTCGCATAATAGCGGCCAACATATTCTGCATGCTAAAATCAGGTACCTGCGCCTCCATATACACATGAAATGTGCAAATGAACTTTTTTTTAAAAGTTGAAACTATTAATGTTACCATATTTACTATAATTATGGTTCAAACTATTCTGTTCAGCTTTTGCCCACAAAATATACCGTCAATTCACTTTACAGTATATTCTGTGAAGTGCTTTGAGACGTTATGAAGATGCGATAAGGCACTATATGAAATGCAAGGATTATTGTTATATTATATTTATGCCCTTTCTGCCTTGCATCTCCCTATTTTTCTGAACTGCTTACTCCCCACTCCAACAAACCGTCATCTCTGCTTGGCTGGCTTCAGCCTCCTGCTTGTCTATCATTCATCATCATTGGCTGTGCTTTCAGCCATTATGCCCCCAAACTCTGGAACTCTCCCCCTCAATCCCTCCGCCTTGTCCCCTCTTTCGCCATTTTCAGATCATGCCTGAAAACCTTCCTCTTCAACTGTGTTTAGATTCACCTCCCATTAGACTGGCATCAGGCTCCGCCATTGTTAAGCGCTCTGAGATGCTACCCAACGTGAAGGGCGCCTATAAATCCAAGTTGTTGTTGTTTATTAATGTAAATATAATTTATCATCATCTACTACAATACAAGCCATAACTAGAAGATTAATGTTGAAATATTGTAAAATTGCAATCCTGAATAGGTTTACTCCTATCACTGAGATATTAAATGTCCTGGGTTTCACTCATTATTCAGAGTATTAGGAGCCCAATATTAGCTACAAGGATAACGAGCAACAGTCAAATATTTTTTGCACTTTTGTTACATTGGTGTCTTTTTAGAATTGTAGGAGTTTAATTTGTGTTATTTCCTAACATATTTTCTTGAAAAGAAACAATTGAATTTCTAAACCATCAAATGCGCTGAAGAATGTATTCTTTATCATAATCAATATTTTAGTACTTACACAATGAAACATTTCCAATTCTGAAATATTTTAAGAAATAACAACATATCACTTTTGACAAAGTTTTCAGTATTTGAAACTAAGATATTATGTTGAATATTGTATCAGAATAATTTAATTAATCATAATACAAACATATATCTGTATATTGTTGCTTTATTTGTGCTTTGGCTAACTTCAGGACTTAAATTATTATTTTGTGTGTATTCTTCTTGTGGCCTGTGCTTTTTTAAAGGTATAACAACAGTTCTAACTATGACAACGCTGAGTATCAGTGCACGACACTCTCTTCCAAAGGTCTCCTATGCCACTGCAATGGACTGGTTCATTGCTGTCTGCTTTGCCTTTGTGTTCTCTGCTCTGATTGAGTTTGCTGCTGTTAACTACTTCACCAATGCCCAAGCTGAGAAAGCCAAAAAAAGGGCAGCCAAGCTTTTTGCTACATCTCCACCCACTCCAATAAAGACAGTGACTGACTCAGAGGAAGTACTTCAGGTAATGCTGTAGTTCAATTAATAAATATAAAGCAGGAACCCACTCAATTCCATTTGGATGTTTATGAGTAGCAGTGAAGATTTTTTGAGAATTAAACAATTGTACTTGTATTTGGTGACTATCGTGTAATACAGGTTGAGTGTTGGTGCAGGATGGTGAGGATCACAGTTGACTGACCCTCTGGTGGGAAGTGTTTAGATCATGAGCTGGAGGTTGTGTGGGCAGGTGGGAGAGAGCTACATGGCTGTGGTTGTGGAGAGCCATTGGCTTCATGAACTTTGGAAATAATTACAAAATAATTCTTCAGTCTCACACCTCATACCCATCAGCCCTTGAATTGTAGATTTGAATGTAGTTTTCGATGTTTGAGTAGAGAGTATTAGCAAATAAAATTGGTCATTCACTTCATGGCTGTTTGTGGGACATTGCTGTTCACAAATTGGCTGCCTCATCTTACCCATGCAAGATGCATCTGTTTACTGTGAATCTCTTTGAGATATCTGGGTGACATGATAAAGGTTATATCAAATGCAGTGATTATTTTTATTATTTTGTTATTGCAGTTTGGATCACTCCATAGAGGTAGTTTATAAATGGTTTTCAGTGATATTAATAATAATCCTTACATTTGGTACAGTGTCTTATCACGTCTTCAAGATGTCTCAAAGTGCTTCATAGAATATACTGTAAAATGTAGTGACTGTATATTTTGTGGGCAAAATGTGGTAGCCAATTGCACATAGCAGTGTCCCACATACAATCATTGATTGCGTAACCAAATTATTAATATTTTTAAAAGGAATTATTACACCCGGAAAGCGATCCGTCAATCGACTAACAAGTGGGTAAACAGAGGCGAGTGGAGTAAGGAAGTTTTTCCCTCCCCAATAACACTGCTGTACTCTTTATTGGATTTAGCTTTTCTTGGTATATTTAAACTTCCCAAAATAAATACATTCTGCATGACGTGGACATTTTGTGCACAGGTATGTTGTCAAGTAATTTCTAGATTGTTTTATTAATAGTCCCAGTTGCACCAATGATTCATAGGAACTATGCTTGTCTTGTACTGCCAAATGCGTCTGTATTCAATCTGTAGATCAACATATTTCCTGATCTTCACTAGTTCCTTATTTCATCCAATGTAGTCACTTGGAATGGCCACATCAATAATACTGTGTGTATAATTAGTTGTTTTCTATGATGATATCTGGTTTATTACAATTACTATTCTGTCTGTATGCACTTGTGAATCCCAGATTATTGTGAAGTTACCTTTTGATGTCATTTTTGCTGGTTGATGTTTATTCTAGGCTGGTCTTTATGTCAATATCAAAGTGTTTACAAATTGTCCATTTTATTTGGTTACATTGTGGAACACTGCTGTACGCAATTGCCTGCTATGTTTCACCCACAAAATATACAGTCAATCCACTTTACAATATATTCTGTGAAGCACTTTGAGAAGTCTCAAAGACATGATAAGGCGCTTTATCAAATGCAAGGATTATTATATTAAAATTCAGATTTTTGGGGGGCTGTTTGAACTTGTTGCCTGGAAGGATTCACCGTGCCTGATGAATAGACATATGAAGCCACGAATCCATGGGAAATTTTGAGGAAATTAATTTTCTTCCCTCCCACCAAATCTTATAATACTAGCATTTTGGGAAATGTCTCAAAGCGCTGCACAGAAATTGTTGTAATTTGTTGTAGAGTGTAGTTTGTAGGCAAATGCAGATATTGCTTACAAATATACAGTTCTTATACATAGATACATGGACATAGAAACAGGAGTAGGCTATTCAGCTTCTTGAGCCTGTTATGCCATTCTATAAGATCATGGCTAATCTGTGCCTCAAGTCGAGTTACCCCCCCTTGCCCCATATCCATTAATACCTAACAAATATTTATCTACCTCCATTCCTTCACTGGGAAATGCTGTCTCATTTCCGTTCTGCTCCAAATATGTTTGGTTGATTTGATTCCGATTCTTATCTCACCCAATTTAGGATCCTCTTCATTAGTTTATCTCAGTCATTGAGTTATACAATTGAATCAGTTTAGTTTTTNGCTAAACCAAATGTATAAAGATTGCACGATTAACACTGACAATGAATCTAATTAAAACTAAATTAGATACTAAAGTGAGATGAATTAACCTAAGATGCTTTCACTTAATTTGGTGAATATCTGAATTCAGTTCTTTAAATCACGGATCCTGGATCTGTCACAGTGACTTTGCTCGGAATCTAATTTTAGTTTCAGTTTCCATGAAGTCAGGGTTGGAGTGGAATTCCAGAGAGTGATCCACAATACATCGCTGGGGAAAAATTCTTGGAGGGTGTGCATAATTTGGCAAATTCTTAAATACAGTGTTAATTTCTGTAGTCATTTACTATTTACAAATCTTACTGAGATTCTCAGAGGTTGGGCCCAAATTTTAATGTTAGACCTAATATATAAGCATACATATTACCTTTTCTTGGTCGGCTTTGCTGATCAACATTTTTTTCACTTTCACAGATACAATGTGAGCTGTATAGGTTGCCTTACCACCAATAAGGTTCCTTCATCAGATAATCTAACCAAGCACTGGTTAGGATACTGATCTTCTTTCTATGACAAATAGTGACTGCACAGGAAACAAATTGCATTTGATGTTTTTTTTTACATCTTGCTCTTTTTGTTCTTTGCAGTTAAACAATTGAATAATATGCATGTCATTTCTGAGGCAATGTGACTGAGTAGATGCATATACAAGACAGGAAAGATTTCCGTGTTTAGTAATTATCTATCAGTTCTGCGGTATAAAAATGATTACATGCCCTCAAAGTATTTCTGGTGAAACTGAGTTAAATATATGTTGCTTTGGTTTACCTTTTGGAATCTTTGGTTTAGAGTTTGGCATGTTGCAGATTTCCGGTTTCAACACAATCACAGGTACTAGTCTTTACCTTCAGACACTTGTGTTTGGCTCCATCAATATTGCACGTTGTTTGCCTTGATGAGTTTCATTTGGCTTTGATAAATATTCAACACAGATAAATTACAAATTTGTTAACAAACTAAGTAATTTTTCCTTATCCCTTACTCCTTTGCTTTTCCACTAGGCATTATTTACACTAGAATATAGACTTCCAGACATTCAATTTACTGATCTGGACCTGAATGATGGATAGGTGTATAAGTACTCTATGGGTTACCTTACCATCAATAAGGTTCCTTCATTAGATAGTCTGACAAAGCACTGGTTAGAATCTTCCTTCTATGGCAAATAGTGACTGGATTTAGCTATTGTAATTATTCGAGGTTTTTTTAATGAACTTTTTGAGTATGGAAATTTTAGGGCTGAGATTCCACCTGTTCTTAGCCCATGAGAGCATTTGTTCTTAAAATTTAAAGCTAGCCTTGAATTACGGAACATTCATCAATTCACTTTTACTTTGGAAACTTCCTTTCAAAGACCTGCATAAAAAGGGTTGTAAATTAAGCCTGAATTTAAGCATTGTTCACAATTCTGCATGATTTCGAAGTGTTATGAGATATCATCGTATGTGAAGGGCACTGTATAACTGCACTATTAAGTGGGATGTCAGGCCAAAAATGTTGTGTAGTGACTGGTTCTCTTTGACGATTGCAGTTGAGTTTGCAGATCTACAAGTGTTTACTATTTGAGTCCTTCTTCACTGACACAATGAACAGCCAGTAATGTAGAAAATTAACCTGGTCAAAATCATTGCTTTTTGAATCACAAATTTAATTGTAAGCTATTTAAATATCAGCAATTCAGCTGAAATGTGAAATGCAACTTGCTACTATTGAAGCAAGTTAATGATGATGTTTTTTTTCTTCCAAAGAAACCAGATTCGAATGGCAATTTGAGGAAGAGAATTAACTTCTTGGCACAGTCAGATGTTCTTGGCAGTCCAAGAGATTACTTGGGGAATGATAGCAAGAATGTACTATCGAGACCATCTGTAATTGGCCAGGTATCCTGCACAGCTATCCCAGAGATATCTTCTACACCAAGTCCAGGTTCTTTTGGTCGCATACATATATCCCCTGCAGTGACATTACCTGGAGCAAGAAGCACCCCTCCACCACCTCCTCCCACTCCCACACTAGTCTCAAATAGACCTACTCCTGTTCACCCTCTATGTGGAACAGCATTTGAATCGAACCCACTTGCACCCAAACTATTTGAACCAACTCTGAAACATTCTTCACCCAACACTGCGCCGTCTGCCTTCGCCCCTCCTGCACTTTCGCCTCCAGGTAGCGGAACAAGCAAAATTGACAAATACGCTCGCATACTTTTCCCGGTTACGTTCAGTGCATTTAACATGGTCTATTGGGTGGTGTACCTCTCGAAGGATACAATGGAGAAATCAGAAGGTGACTTGTAATTTTGCTGTTGCAGAAACGTTTTAGTGTATGTTATAACAATTTGAATCCATGAAGTAATGCAGCGGTTTCATTAAAGGTTTATTGGTTGAATGTGTGAGAACAGCAGGTTTCCCAGTGGTAACTGATTGTATCCTACTGTTACAAGCTAAAATGTGTACTCATCACTGAGACCGAGCTTCTATTACTATTTACATCTTCATATCTAACCAAATATTGAATTGGTTGATATTTTAATATATATTATAGAAAGCAGGAGTAATGTGACAGAGGTCCGCATGGAAGAGAATTATAGTTAAGAAAAACAAACATATATGAATGTAATAAAGTAAAGTTTCAAGTTTAGAACTTGAAGATTCACTCTAAGCAAATGTTTTACATTTTTCATGGCTGTGCAACACTCCTTTAAAGTAATATAGTACTTTTATAGAACTTCCGATATATATAACCACTGACAAAACAAGTCAATTGTTAGCATTTCTAACATTAGTTTTTTTTAAATTATGTTTTTGGGAATATTGGCAGTTTTGTTCAAAAATAAATATTTTTTCTGATGGTTGGGAAAGTGCCTATGAATTCTAAAGAGAAATACTGTACACCGGAGCTTCAATAAGGTGAAGGTAGAGTTTGAATTGAGATCTAATCTTGCCAAATGGTTTATGCAGAGCCATTTCACCTGCAACTAGTTTTACAATAATTTGGCAGATTTTCGTACAGAGCCATACATTTGGAACTTGTTTTCCGTAAGTTATTTTAATAACGGCAAAAACAATGGCTCTACAGTTACGACTGAATTCAACAATTTACCACATTTGGCATCTTTTACCCACTAAGTCATCATTTCTGAGATAAATATTGGGTTTGATGGCAAAAATACTATAAATGCATCTGTATTACGGCTAGCCCAGGGACATAATAATAATCCTTGCATTTGATATAGCGCCTTATCATGACTTTGAGATATCTCAAAGTGCTTCATAGAATATACTGTAAAGTGAATTGACTGTATATTTTGTGGATGAAACGCGGCAGCCAATTGTACACAGCAGTGTCCCACGAGCAGTCGTGAATTGAGTGAATTTTTTTTAAGGAATTATTACCCCTTGTAATTGACATATTATTGGGTAACTAAGATAGTAGTAGAGACAATGACACTGGTGTGATAGTTATGTGGTGTTCAGGCTCATGTATGTCATAGATTTTAAACCATTTTGGGAACATTTTAAATAAGCATTCTTGGAGGAAGTATGTATCATGAGAGAATCCATTACTGATTTGTGATCCATTAGGTGTCCACACCATCCAATTGCCTATTATGGCATTTCTAGCCAAAAAGGGAGTTTTAAGTAAACGGCAGGAAATATTCTTTGAAAATTGCTGGAACAACATAACCAGAATCACACTGTTTTAAACAGTAATATTAAAAATGAGGAATAGGTTTGAGGATCATAAAGATCTTTGAAAGATCCTTCTTTCAATTTCCTGGAACATCTAAGTCTTGCCTTTGTGTTGCACATTCTGATGACGAGATAGTTTGATTGTGAATCAACTAATTTTGTGTTAAGTCGGGTTGTGCTTCTAATTAATGTCTTGTGCAACTGTGAAATTTTAATTGTATATATCCTGTATCCGTACTTTTAAATAAATGCATTGTTATTAAAGGCAAATATAACATATATAACATTATTAAACACTTGATGGATGTTTCTCATGCTGGAATTCTGTTGGATGATTATTCCATTTATTTAAGTCATCATTGAGATCTGTACAGAGAAAGATTCTTCATGTTGCTTAATATAGCAATGTTAGGGTCTAACTTAGCACTTAAATTCAGAGATTTCTGGAGTATGGAATATGAATTGCATTGTTGTGAATGTAACTAGCCAACCGATTCTCAATGCTGACTTCCTGAACCCAGGTTACACACTGCCTTCCAGCTTGTGGTTGTGTTTATGACTACTAGTTTGTGGGATTGTGGTTTGACTTTGAGTTTGAAGTTGTGATCCCTCTAACAGTAGTCAAAAGCAAGTTGGAAGCTGGACATAAGCTTCATAGACCCGTATCGGAAACAGGGGATGTCCACATCCAGTACATCTGGGTAGTTGAGTATATTCAATAGTTGAGGAATTTCTTATTTTGGATTGCAAGTTAGACCCCAATTGCAATGTTGGCTAACGGTGCCGTAATGGTGTGCGTTAGTGATAGTACTATGTTAAAGGGACACACACGTTCTTCCACCTGCAAAATTGGTCTGAACAACATGTGGAACAATGCTGCTGCCGGTCAGAACGGATGTTACAATACTCTTGTTCAAGGCTGCGTGGTTCCTTGGCAAAGTTCCTACAGGATCTTTTAAAAAAGTTTTAACATACTTGAGCAGAGCTTTAACAAAACGCTCCAAATGTTATTAAGGTGAATTTGCAAGTTAAGAAACACTAGGCTAAGCAATTAACTAGTGTGACTGCTGGCACTCAGCATTCAGCCTATTGTTCTACATAATCATTGGTGCTATGTTTAGATACATGAGGAATCTTTCATCATAAATCTTACACAAATGTAACAAATTATCAGTGATATGAGAAATTTCTCACCCAAGTTTTATATCTTGTGTGTTGTAGTATCCGGAGTTTAAGAGACAGTTTTATTTTACAGTATATAAACTGATGTTTGTCTTGCTGTTACCCACCTTGTAATGAAGCCCCTGCAAAAAAAAAGATTATTTTGTGAACATGGTATTTGAAAACTGGGTATATATTATTGCACTGGGATAAGCCTGCTTTACTTTCCTGATGCTTGTAGAATTATACTTTGTAGATTTGTATTATACCAAATGCAATTTTAACAGCCAGAACTGAATAGAATGTAAGGTAAAAATATACATTTTATATTTTAAAGATATTTGTAGGACACAAGACCATAGAAATGTATTGATCAAATGATATATTGTGTGGTTTATAAGTACAGGCCCCAGACCAATGTTAATTTACTAATAAAATCCATCACATCATTTGCTTCATTCGTATACTTCCATTTTGAAGTTTGACTTAAAGCATTGATGGTTTCTTAAAGCAATATTTGGATTCTAATGAATTTATGTACGTAAATGTGAATTTTGTCAAGAGTTATCACAATTTTGGAGGGCTAGCCAATCTTGTCATCTGGCAAACTGTGTACCTAGATGTAAAGGAATATGGTGCTTCTCTGTCCAGTCATTCCAACAATTCCCAGACGGCATCTGCATGGCACAAAGTACATCAGAATAATGTGGAATAAAAGTATCAGCACCTAACAGTGTGAACTTTAAATTGGCGATGTATTATTTCCCAATATGAGAGATGAAAAAGACTTAAGGTTGCAGAGAAGTGAAATATTAACAAAGAATTTGCAAGTTCATCCTCTAAGCTGAAGGTAGATTGATATTAATGTTACTTCACAAAAATATTGTTTTTTCTATTTCATGATTTGTCTGAGTAATCACTCTCTTTCTGATATTGCATTCACTGCCTTTGGAGGTTGGTGTGATAACAACAACAATAACAACAAATCATATTTCTATAGTGCCTTTCATGTCAGGAGGACGTCCCAATATCGCATGATATCGCCGAGCAGGAAGAGCTGCGCTGCTTTTTTTTACAATTCCGCATTCCACATACAAGATGATAAATGGATCGCTTGTTTTAAACAGAGAAACTCAGGTCAAAGACCAAGACCCATAATACAACACATTATCAGAGTTAGATTAGAAAAAACACAAGCTAAGCCAGGAAGACAAACATAGCTGATAACAAGATTGGGATTGTCAGGTTGTACAAGGAAAGACTTGGGAAGGTAAGGTAAGATGGGTATTTGGAGTTGAAATACAGATCAGCCGTTATCTAATAGAATGGCAGAACAGGCTTGAGGGGCTGAATGGCCTACTCCTGTTCCTATGTTTCTATAAGGAGTTTCATATATTTCAGATTCTGAGAAAGAATAATTTAGAAGTAGGAGTCATTGGAGGAGTGGGTATTTATTTTCCTGATATAAAGACATACTGAATTTATTTTTACTATTTTGGTACACTGTTGGTGATTAGATTGAATTTCACACACATGCAGGGAGGAGGAAGCAAATACAGAAAGGCATATTTGTTACTTTGGGAGAAGGAAAGTGGGAGTCTGGAGGAGCTGCGATCATGGCAGCATCAGCACAATATAAAAACATGAGATTTCAGCAATATTCGTTTTTTAGAGTGCATTTTTACAGGTTGAATAGAACATTGCTTGCTGAGGGAACACCCTTCCTGTCAGATGCCTGAAGATAACCTGGTAAGCTATTTGTCATTTCCTCACTCATGAATTATTGAACCATCCTTGGTTGAATCACTCCTAGGGAAAGTGCATAATGTAAGATTTTACTCATACTGGAATTGATTTAGTGACTGTATCTGGGTTAATATTGGAGTGGAAATTATAGTTTGTGATATGCTGATTGTCACTGGTGATAACTATCACAGGAGAAAAACTCTTGAGTTAAGATGGTAATTTGTACAATAGGGATGAAAGGGCATGATTGTGGGAGACACAAAGATAGTGGCAATTAACGGCCCTGGATGGTTATGGGGTCAAACCAACAACGTCAACTGCAGATGGTTCAATATACTCTGAGTGAGGATAATGACAAACAGGTTACAAAGTGTGACAGGAGGAATGTTCACTCAGCAAAGAATGCTTTTATGGAAGCTGTAAAAATATACTCAGCAAAAAAACTTCTAGCCATTGTTGAAATTTATTAACACTGCTTAGGCACCTCCAAACTTCCTCTTTTATTGCTCCAAAATCAGGGATAGGGGAAGGTTGTTCACTCCCAAACCTGTCAAAGGAGGGAAAACAACAACAAAATTAATTTATAGAGCGTCTTTCACGTCGGGAGGACGTCCCAAGGTGCTGGGCAATCAGGGGTCAATATCCAGCATGGGGAGGGGTGGGGTAGGGGTGAGGGTGGGAAGGGCGACTGAAGGCACGATCGAAGAGGAGGGTCTTAAGACCGGCCTTGAAGGAGGCAAGGGAGTAAGTGAGGTGAAGGGACTGTGGGATGGAGTTCCAGAGTATGGGGGCAGAGAGGCTGAAAGCCCGGCCACCGATGGTACGGCAGGTCGGGCGGGAGACATGGAGCAGGCCGGAGCCCGCTGAACAGAGGGAGTGAGCAGGTTGGTAGGGAGTAAGCAAGTCAGAGAGGTAGGAGGGGGCAAGGCCATGGATTGCCTTGAAAGTGAGGACGAGGATTTTGAATTCGATCCTCTGAGGGATGGGGAGCCAGTGGAGTCGGGCAAATGTGGGAGTGATGGGGTCACGGAGCCTGGTGCGTGAGAGTACACAAGCTGCAGAGTTTTGGATGATCTGCAGCTTGTGAAGGGAAGAGTTGGGAAGGCCGATGAGGAGGGAGTTTCCATAATCGAGCCTTGATGTGACGAATGTGTGGAT